TAAGTAGAATATATCCATGGGTTAAATTAAACAAATTTTATTACAGTCCAAGAGGCAGGATGGGGTGCTCATTGGCATGCTCTTTGGAACAAGTGGCTCCCAGGGAACCAAAGATCAGGTAGGTGAGACTTGCCCAGTATGGCGAAGCATGGCACATGAGAATGATTGTGAAACAATAAAGTGTGCCTGGGCCAAGCCTTGGGCCTCTGAGCCAGAGTCTCCTGAGGAGAACCTGGGTATCTGCATTTAAAAGCTTCTGCATGTGAAGTGACTCACCACTGCCACCCTTGGGGAAAGAGCAACCCAGCCTGGAGCTGTGGAAGGAAGGGTGAGCCTGCCTCTCTCTCTTGGGAAGGATAAATGACAAAAGGGTGGTTTTCATACATAAACTCCTATAAGACTTTACGAGGCAAGACAGCGCACCTGGGGTGGCTCTTTAACAAAGAAAATGTGAGATGTTCTTGCTACCTGCGACAAACACCATGTGGACCAGACAGACAGGTGCCAGCACACAGTGTTGTCATCTAAGAGGGTGTCTTGTGGCCGCCTTGTAAGGCCTCCCAGAAGCACTGGGTGGAGGATGTACAAGCAGGTGGGGATGAAACCTGGAGTAAAGTCCCCTTAGATGATTAAAGAAGTATGTGAGGAGCTGAAAAAGTGACCCGCACTCTAGGCTCTTTAAGGGCAGATGCATCTCATTGGATCTTACAGGTTCAATGACTTCCTTGGTGAGTCCTAGATCCACTGTTAACTGGATCTGGGACGCCATAACTTATAGACATCTATTTCTTTGCATGTAAAAAATTGATTTTTAAGGCAAGTGGTGATCCCTATTTTGGGGGATTTTGTAAATCAGAAACTGTCAAATAAAACTTTTGGGATTGACCTATGATTATGAATTTTTATATCAAGTTAGGACAATGAAGAGCCTAAAAACTATGATATACTATAATCATTTCATAAAGGAGGGCTATTTAACAGCAAAGAGAAAGGATAACCAGAATTTAAAAACTACTTGCTGAACTTTAAAGAACAGCTGTTTATTGCTGTGGCTTTCTCATGCTCTGTGAACTGATAAAGAGTTTACACCAACACACCTCTGCAAAGGTGACTTTGCCTTGATACTCTGGGACAGCTGTACCCCTTGCAAATGCCGCTAATTTCCTTGAAGAAGTGTTTTAGGGTCTTAAGGGAACCCCAGGAATTCAAGTGCAGTCTCTTGGTATTTGTGGCAGTTTCCACTGTGAATAGCTGTGCAGTGAGTGCTGGCAGCCAAAAACCCGATCACTCCTTTAAAATGAAGTCAAATAGATGGCAGCAAACAGGATCACGGAAGCTTGGAGTTGAAAGGTTTCTTAGCAATGATCTTATCCCTGTGGCTTTCTTATCCCTGTGCACTGTAAAGCCACAGCAGTGCTGCTTCAACCAACAGACCTCTATTTTAATAACTGGCTTTTAAGATGGAGATAATTTACTTAAAAAAAACAAAAACAAAAACAAAAACTTGAACATGAACAATTCAATTGATTTCTAACTTAAAGGGAAAATGGAGGCTGGAAAAGCTAAGATTTTCTTGAGACTACCCATTTAGTTGGCAGAACTTGGTGACACATCACCAGTGTGGTGTGCGTAGGAAAGATCCTTACTGCTTAAACTTCATAGCATCCATTACAGCAGTGGTGGCAAACCTATGGCACACATGCCATAGCTCGCTGTTTGTTATCATTGAAAGCTCTAAAAGGTTCACCACCACTGCACTAGTTTGGATCTTATGAGTTCCCCAAAGGTCTATATGGTAAAGGCTTGTTCCCAGGGAAGTGCTGTTGGTATACAGTGGGGCATAGTGGGAGGTCTTCAGGTATTAAGGTGTGCCCTTCAAAGGGATGGTGGGGCAATTCCTTCTTTCTCTTTGTACTTTCTAGCCACAGTAAGAGTAGTTTTGCTCTGTATGTGCTCCTACCATGATGTGCTATTAGCACCAGGACAAAAGCAATGCGGCCAGTGGGCCACAGGCTAGAACTTCTAAAACTTTGAGCAAAACTAAACCATTTCTCTTTATAAGCTGTTTACCTTGGGTATGTGTTATAGTAAGGGAAAGCTGACTACTAACAGAAAACTGGTACTGAGAAATGAGTCACTGCTATGACTGTGCCTGGCAATGTGGAAAAGCCTTTGGAAGTGGTTTATGGGGTTTGGAGTTTGGAGAAGTAGGCTAAAGAAACCCTAGAAAGGTGGATTAGTGCGCAGTTCTGATGAGGGGTAAGAGAACATAACACTGAGAATGTGGACAGAAAAGGTTATGCTGATGAGGCTTCAGACTGAAATGAGGACTGTTCTGGGCACTGGACTAAAGTTTATCCTTGTTACACTGCAGCAAAGAATCTGAATGCACTTTATCCACACCTTGAGACTGTGTGAGAGGTTGATGACTAACTTAAAGGTGGTAGACTAACTTCTATTGTGGAGTAAATTTTAAGGCAGAAAATGTTCAAGCTTCAGCATTGGTATTACTGCCTTCACCCAAATTTATAGTGAGAACTGAGAGCAGAAAGGGGCACAGCAGAATGATTTGAAGAATTTGCACACTGGTGAGAAAAACTGTGGACAGTGGAGATTGGCACCATTAGATGAAGCCAAGTGCTTTGCTCCAGGACAAGAGGAAAGATACTTGAGGGCATCTCAGAAAATCTGAGAGGCCACCCCATTCATCATAGGCTCAAGGATGTACAGGTATGAATTTGTTTCAAAGACTTCATTGAAAAAAGGGCCCTAGGGTGTTGTCCTGCATGCCCAGAAATGCCAAAGGACTCATTTTACTACGTTCATGTAGCCAGGGTTCAAGCAGGCCCAGGTATAGCCTCTGCTGGGGGCAGACCACGTGTCATCCATGTGGTGCTGCTTTTGCAGACATGCAGAATGGAAGAGTTATGCAGTTTTGGACCTTTCACAAGATTTTTAAGGAAAGCAGGAGAGGGTGGCTAGGCAGTGCATGACATTCTGTAAGGATCCCCTGACAAGGCAGTATGTGGAGATTTATGAGTGCAGGCAAAGCTGCAGTGCAGTTGGCAGCAACATGGAGCACTGCTGAAGGAAGCTGCAGGCAGTGTTGCAAAGCCAGCACATCACTGGCCATGTGGGCTATATTCAACAAAGGCAGTGGGCAGGGTTTCTCAAGCCCTGTGGAGTGCACATACCATTATACTATGTTTTGGGAGCTGGACATGGAAAGAAAAGATTTAGTATTTACCCTGCTGTGTTCTGGTTTTTCCTTGGTCTGATCCGTCCCTTCTATGCCCTGAATCCTCCCTTTTGGAATAGGACTGTGCCTGTCCCACTATTACATCTGGGAAGCATAGAACTTGTTGACTCTTACAAGCTATCACAGTTGAGTTATCTTTGCATCTCAAAGACTTTGGACTTGGACTTTTGAGCAATGCTTAAACAGTTAAGTTTGACCCTCCTGAGGATGGACTATATAAATGCATTTTGCACTGTGAGACGGATGTGAGCCTTTGGGGCCAGGGAAGAATGTGAATTTGGATCGTATGTGTCCCCCAAAGGGTATGTGGTAAAGTGCTGTTTCCCCAGGGCAGTGCTACTGAGACGTGGTGGAGCCTTTAAACGGGGCCCACTGCAAGGCCTTTAAACAATGGCAGGTGTGGCCTTGAAGGGGCCTGTGGGACCCTAGCCTCTTTTCCATTCTCTTTTCTTGCTTCCTGACCATTTTGTGAGGGTAAGTGCTTTTCCCCTGGCATGTACTAGGTACTTCACAGCCACAGCACTAAAAGCAATGGGGCCAACCAATTATCAACTGGAACCTCTAAAACCTTGAGCCAAAACAACCTTTTTCTCTAAGTTATCTCAGGTATTTGTTATAGTAGCAAGAAGCTAACTCAGTGTTTGCTCCCAGATTCGCCAGTGATCAAATCAGTCCTTCCCACCACTCCACTGTAGGGAGTCAACTGTGACAGCTTCCTTCTTGAAACACAGACTTTTCATACCCAGGCCCTGAACTGTGCATGGCAGACAATCCCTATGCAGTAACAATGGTAATGGTCTCACTAACAATTATTGAGAATACTAATTTGTAAGCTCCATGTCTGCAGCTTTGCTCCCATTTTGAATATCACTGAAGAAAGTCTCTTTAATAGTATTTCTTTATATCTGTTTTTGTTTTTGTTTTTGTTTTTTTGGTTTTTCTCCGGCACCGGGAACCGAACTCACGACCTTGCGCTTGCCAGGCAGGCGCTTTGCCGCTGAGCTAAATCCCCAGCCCCTGTATTTCTTTATATCTGAAGAGTAATATTTGTATGACTATCATTTTGTGATTTCAAGGTCATGTTCAAGCAAAAAATTTAAAAGGTATTTTATGAAAGATGTACTTTATTAAAATGTCTGAACTACACGGTCAAGTACATAAACTGAGATGAAGTGTTTACTCTGTGCCTCGCCTGCCACTGTATCTGGGAAAGAGAATATTTTGGCTCTTACAGAGTAATCACAGCTGATTTGCCTGGCATCTCAGGCTGGATCTGCATTTTTCAGCAATGCTGAAACAGTTGTTTGGAACTCCTGAGGGTGAACTAAATGTATTTTTCACTGTGAGGTGGATGTGAATCTTTGGGGGCCAGGGCAGAATGCTACAGTTTGAGTCTTATGTGTCTCCCAAAGTCCCATGTGGTAAAGGGTGGGCTCCTCCAATGGCTCACCACACAATAAGCTGACAGTATCTTCACATCTAGTCAACAATAGCCTTTATAGTACATTCACTTTATAGAAAGCCCCTTGATGGTGAAATGTATCTGATAAGTCTGAACCTAAGTCAGTAGCAAACAGTGACTACTAGCTGAAGCAGTGTTCTTTAAACTGTGTTCTCTGCTTAATGGGCCATGAAATCAATTCGGTGGGTTACGAAAGCATTATTGTGTGTGGGTACACACACACACACTCTCTCTTACAAAAGAAAAATATCAATATATATTGCATGTTTTAAGGGTAAATACTATTTCAAAAACCTTTTATTTCATCACATATATGCATAAACACATCAGGATATAAAATATATTTCACAGTTCTCTTGGGATAAAACATTTCAGCTCTTGAAAAAAGACTCTTTGGTTGTGTGTGTGTGTGTGTGTGTGTGTGTATGTGTTTCACTTCTGAGTGATAGCTTTAAATCCTAGATAGTTCCAAGTCCTTTCCTAATAGTGACCTCTGATCACAACCTGCCTCCACAACCATTTTCAATGATCACTTCCTCCTGCCATAGCCCTGTGAACTTCACTGAGGGAAAATTGCAGGAGTGCGTCTGAATGTGGATCGGTACCAGCCCCAGGTCCCTGCCTTTGCTGTGCCAGGCATGATGACACCGCCTTATGTACACAGTTCTTTACAGATCTATCTCCTTGCTTTTATTAGTAGCTGGATTTCGCCTGTACAGTTAGGGTTCCTCACACAGAACATAGCCTAAGAAACTGTTTCAAAATAAATTAATTCAACAAAATATTAGTTTCAAATTAAATAAAATATTTACTCATTTCTTCCTACTTAAGAAATATAGAAGTACTATATAAAGCTTTACTTGCATTGATTAAATGACAGTTGTATAAAAAAAGTTGAGGCACTGGAATCTGTGGCTAATGGTAATAATTCTATTACTTTACATCATGTCTCACATAGTTATACATTAACTTTTGACTTGGAGCTGCTATACATTACCATCTTAACACAATACCATGTATATAGTACTAGTTACAAATTCCATCTAAAATAACAATAATAATAGAACATGATATCAAGGGAAGAGAAAAACAATGATTTTCCAAACGCTTATCAACATGTCAGTATACACCTGATTTGGCCTATGATTAAATGCAATTTGGGAGAAGGAACCAAGGTTTTTAAACTGGAAAGATCCTCATGCTGATTTGGTTCAACCATGTACTTTTCATGTTAGGAAATGGGTGCACATGAGGGCAGAGGACTTCTCTAAGGTCACACAATTAGTCAATAGGAGAGGGGCCCCAGGTCTCTTGATTACAAATCTAGAATGTTTTAAATTTCATAACAAAGGTTTATACTGTAACACAGTCATATTTTTAAGGGATCAAATCAGATATTAAGGAAAACAAATTCATGATATTCATGATATATTTTAGACTGAAAAAAATCCTAACACAAAAATTTAATGAAAATATATATCGATAGTGATGTTCAAGATAATATAATTAGTGTGGAATACAGTGCTGTGTGTACTGAGGCAGTGCTTCACTGGTGTACGAATCCATTTACATGTCTGCGTCACTCCTGTGCATGGTTGCATTTTCATCCGTGTCTCCTGGGTTAAATGTCTTCCACAAGAACTTCTCATTTGGTTTCCAGAGAGACGGCTCTAGCACTGCTTTCCTTTTGGAGGCTGCAGCAAGGGGTGCTTTTTCACACAGCGTCTCTATCACTGCCAAGTCAGTGAGTTTATTGAGACTGTCGTCATTCTGCTCATTCAAAATGTCCCAGAAATCTTTTGGTCTTTGCTTTGCTTTCTCCACAGACCCTGAAAGAACTTTCTTTGGCAGTCGTGTGGGACTGTTCCCTTGACTTTTAAAGAGGTCATCGAGAATAGAAGTGTCTCCAAGTAAACCTTCCACACAAGTGTTTTCTGATACTGGATTTTCTATCTTTCTGTTTTCTAATCTGAAAAGGTGTCCATTTCTTGCAATGCCCATTCTTGTGAAGCCCTGCTGGTCTTCCAGGGTATTCTCTAACGTGCTCTCCTGGGCCTCAGACTTCCTGTGCGGCAAGTGAGAGGCTGCAGTGCCTCTGGATGTGTGGCTGTTTTTCCCACTGTCAGTCTCCTGAGTGGAGCCAGTTGGCGACTCCTTACCTTCTGCATCATTAGAAAATGTTTTATCTCTACAGGAATCACAATCTTGAAACCTAACTGATTTTCCTTTATTTATTTTTGGGCTATAAGTCTGGGAAAATTTATTGGTAGGACCATTAAATGACAAAGTTTTAGAATTTGACAGCTTTTCTTTTACCAGAGGTTCTCTTTCTTCAGATTTCTTCTTGACTCTCCCTTCTTCTTTATGGGTAGATTTAATTAATTCCGAAGTTGTATCCACAAAAAATTCTTTTATCTCTGGATACTGAGAAGCATAAAAGTCTTTCAGCATTTTCTGTCGTTCTTCTGATGTAGCATTAGTTATGCGCTTAGCAAATTCCTTTACAGAAGAGGAGTTAAAGTAAGAGGCAATTTCTTCAAATTGTTTTCTAAAGAGAAAAATGAATAAAACCAGTGGTTATTTTTACTACCTTTTATCTTTGAGGAACTCATTATCAATGACAGGAAAAGCAGAAGCAAAACTAAGTAAGTTTGTTCCTTAAGCACGACTGCTTAATTGCATAATGAAAATGCATTTTATCCTAGAGAATATCGGCCCCCCTTTCCTGAAGTTACTAAAAAAAATTTGTAGCTCATGAAATCACTAGCTTTTTAAGTTATTCTGATTTATCCTATTAGGCATTTCCTGGGAATTATAGGATCCCAGCATGTTAGTCCTCCAGTGATCCATCATATGACTGACATGACAATCATAATTTATATAATCTGTATTTGAAAATCTACATTGCTTTCAAGTCCCATAAAATGAGAGTCAAAGAAGAGTTGTGAAAATAGATGTTTTTTCTTTCTTTTTCCTTCCACAAATACAACAAAAATTTCACAAGATTTTTTGATGACCCTAAAGGAAAGTTTTAAACTGATAAACTTAGATTCTTTTTTCCTCACTTGGTCCAACTTTAGTACAGACAGCTGACCTTAGAAATGAGACATTATTTGAAGAAGTAAGCTGCATTCTTAGTATAAGATATTAATAAAAGCTGTTATATTCATCGATGAGGAAATGGGCTTCCTGCGATCCTGTTAAGATGGAGGCAGAAAATTTATTTAGGGTATCTTGGACAATGGACTATGCTCCTTTCCATACACAGGAAAAGGTGCTACAAACTGAGTTGTGCCGCCCCCCCCCCCAATCATGCTGAAGTACCCAAAGTGACAGTATTTGGAGACAAGGCTTTAAGGGGAGTAAGGGTAAATGAAGTCATAAGGGTTGGGCCCCAATCCAACAGGAAGAAAGGCTAGGGAGTTAGCGCAGGGTGTTTTTAAAATGTTCCAGTCTTCATGGCACATAAAGTAATGAGATACTATCTTGTTTTTTAATCTTTCTCTTCTTCACCTCTGCTTCCTTTACTCTCTCTTCCTCTCTGCTATACTGAGGACACAGTGAGAAGATGGGTCATCTGCAAGCCAAAAAGTACATTAGCTAGCACCTCCATCTTGCACTTCCCAGACTCCAGAACAGTGAGAGATAAACTTCTGTGGTTCAAGCCCTCAGGCTGTAGTGTTTTTTACGGCAGCCCAAGCAGACTAAGACAGACAGCATTGATTTCCTGAGGTGGAGTTTGTGCCAGGGAAGTTTAATGTTGGTAGATACTTCTAAAACCATAGATGGTACGGTAGAACATGATTATAAGTCTCAAAGCTATATTCATTAAGCAAACATTCCTCAAACCTTGTTATGTGGTAGGTACTATGGTAGTAAGTATAGAACAGTAACCAAGACCTAGTTCCCTATCTTCAAGGAGTTTCTAGTCTAGTTAAAGGAAGCAAATACATAAGATCTTACTAGAATAGAGTGGTGATGAGTCTTGTGATAGAGATTATAAGTACAGGGCCCAAGTGAAGCTCACAGGACACCCAAGCCAGTGACCACTCACTGGTGAACAAAGTGGGTAGGGAGGGATTCCCCACTATACCTCAAATCAGCCACGTAAATGTGGCGAGAACATCTTCCAGGGAGAGGGGACATGTGCACAGGCCCAGTTTGGAGGGGACCCGGGTATAGAGGGTAGGGGAACCTGCCAATGGACAGGCTGACCACCCTAAGTGGTCTGTGTGCCCAGCTGAAAAGGTTAAATTTTATCCTACACACAAAAGAGGAAATAATGATTTATTTTTACTGCAATCATATCAAGCCTGTGTTCCCTCTGATGTTTGTGGCAGTTGGTAATGTTGTGCTCTTCTGTCTTTGCTGGCTCCGGATGAGCACAACAGCTCCTGCTGCTCACCAGTACCTTGATCAATGCTCCAAACCCAAACTCTGCATGAGTCCTGGTCAGCAGTCACACTCATCTCCAACAGAATACTCAGTAACACAAATACAAGCTCCCAGATTTCTGCCTTGGAAATGGCAGCATGCTTGTTGGAAAGCAAGCATGTTCTTAGCAGGTTCCAGTTTTTACTTCAAATGAAGTAATAAGGCATTATTCTGTTTATTAATCATCTTCAAATCCATTTCATTGCCTTCTAATAAATATTTATAGTTGTAAAGATTTAGTGATTGGCAGGGTTACAAACTGATGTCTTTTATTTATTCAAGACCTGGTGGTGTCTCGGCAGCTGCCAAAATAACTTCACCTCCGCTGTGCTGACACCATGACTTGCCCATGACCCTGGAGCCTGTCACCTCTGGGGAGAGTTGCTGCAAACCCAGTGAATGTGTGTAGCCTGCAAGTAAATTATGCCACATTGCTGCCCCTTGTAGGGTGGCTTATGATTAACATTCATTTTAGTTTTGCCTTCTAACTCGCTTTCCTCCTTCTGGAATTTCAAAGGAGTTTTCTCTAAGAATGCAAGAAACTGCAAGGTACACTATAACCAGAAGCAGAAGCTAGCCACTTTGTGAGGAAAACAGGAATCTACAGTAGACTCCCGTAAGCTACTTAGGGAAAGAGGGGAAGGAAAGGAAACCAAACCAACGATAGGTACACAGGGCTTTCAAAAGCAGTGATATACAAATGATATAACTTGAAATCCCCTTTTCTTGAGGAGCCAGGGTGGCACACAGCTGCAACCACTTTCTCTCCACATCAGCTTTCTGAGGGATGGTGGGGCTGAGCTCTGTATCGAGACAGTAGTGTGGTCACAGCGAAGTCCACAGCCTTCACTCTGGCCAACCAGGAGGAAGGGAAACAAGAACTAATTCTTATCTTTTTTATTTTATAAACACACTGCTAGAGGCAATAAAGACACACAAGCTCTTCAATGAGTGGTAAAATACGTATGGTCAGGCTCCTAGCAAAGTAACTGCCCCCAGTGAAAAGGCACACTCTGCAAAATCCACTACTGCAAATCTGCGGTGTGTGTGTCTGTTTGTCTTGTGTGTGTATGTGTATACTCCCCTCTCCCAGAAGGCAGGGACAGCTCAGAGCCATGCCACCACCCTGGTGACTGGAGGGACCATATAGCTTGGCATTGCCAGCCCCCACAAGGGAGTATTATGACCCACAGAGCCAGCATCATTTCCCCACTGTCCCCAGAAGGTATCAGGACCACGGGACCTTTTTCCTGCTTCTCTTGGTCTTTGCTCTGTGCTAGTGACAGAGCACTCCAGACCCTGGCTCAATCTGACTCCTACTCCATCTTTCATCATCATTCTGGACAACATCCCTATCCAGGTAGAGGTCTCACCTAACAGTCCACCACTTTGTATCTGATCTCCACAGACTCAATTCCACGTGTTTTCCCTACTTCAAAGATTCCATCTGTCGCTGTCACCTCCAAATCCCAGAACATGCTGGCCATTTCCAAGGCAGAAATCCAGATTCTTTCTACAGTTGAGCTCCAGCTCAACTGCTTGGTTATCAAGCCCTCCAATTTACTGGCCCTCTTGCCTGCTCCCTCTCAGCTTGCGCTTGTCTGTGTCATCACTCCTCTACAAGCACCTCTGCTTCCCTGCTTCTCTCGCCCTCCATTCTAAGCCCTGATAAAACCCAACATCTCCCTACCCTGAGCTTGTGACAGAACAACTGAAGCTTGCTGAATAAAATCCACAAGACTGAACGGAAGGCTTTACCGTCTGACTTAACATCACCAAGGAAGTCTAGTATCACTAAGCTTGCTCTCCTACTTGACAAGTAATTTAAGTCATAACTTCTCCCACAAGCTGATGGCTTTAATTCTTGATTCACCTAGAAAAACGTCACTATATCTGTCCATTTTGGCCTCTTCTCTTTGAATGCCTCTCAAAGGCCAGTCCTTGGGTGGTGGTCTGGATGCTGTGCTCATCTGCCTGTAGGACATCACTCTTTCTGGGATCATTTCTCTCTAGATGTTTTTCCCCTCTGAGTCTTTTTCTTCAACACTGAAAGCAGAACTTATTCTCTTCCCAAGTTCATCCCAAGTTTTTTTAAAAATCCATCATGGACCCCACGATGTTCTATAGCTACATGGCTCCATCTCACACCCAGGATTAGCCACTGCAGGGCTTCCCCATTCCCTGCTGGCTCCTGCCTCAGTGTCTCTACTAGTCCACTCAGACTGCTTGTGCCAAGGCAGCAATGAGCTCTCTGCTGCCAACACCAGGCCTCTTTCCACTTCATCTGATTCTGCAGAACCTGATAAAGTTCCCTTTCTCTTTGAAACCCTCACCCGGACTGCAGGACCTTCTGCTGTGACCCCATCCTAGGACTATTCTGCACTTGCCCCCACAAAAGAGGCTGCTTCTCCAGGGGTTCCTCCCTCCTTCCTGTACTCTGAGCTCAGGCTGCTGACACAGAGCCATGGTTCTGAAAATCATTTAACCTCCTTGCTGACAGCTCCCAAGTTTATATCTCTAATCCCCAGTCCTGGAGTGGCATACCCACTATGTAATAATTCCACAGAATCTCAAAGTTAGTATGAGCAAAAAAGAACTCTTGACTTTCTTCACTCCAAACCTCCCTCCTGGTTTTCCTCATTCAACAAATCTATGCTGGACCCTTCTGTTCCCAAACCATTTGGCTCTATCTCATAGCAACTTCCACTAGTGCAAACCACCATCACCTGACTCCTTATCATCTGCCCTTTGTCCACTTGCCCTCTTCCACACTGATGCTGGAAGGATCCTCTAAACACATGTCAGGTCATGTCATTCTTCACCAGCTTTCCACTGTACTTGGAACACAATCCAGATTCTTTCTACAGTCTCTGAGGCTTAACACACTCCACCCTTGGCATGTTGTCTTTATCTCATGCCCCTCTCTGGGTGGTCTACTGTGCACTGAGTCTAACAGCCTCCTCTTTGTTCCCCCAAAACAGCACACCTTGTGCCTCCTCAGGGATCTTCTTACTCTGGTTCTCTGCCTGGTTATCCTTCAGGTTCAACTTACATGTCCTGTGTGTATAGAAGGCTTCCCTGACTATTCACCAGAAAGCCCCACCCTCTCCCCTGCCATCTCGCTGTTCTCTACCAAGGCAGTCTGCCCATTTTACAGTTACTTTTTTGGATATTTCTTTTACTATATAGAAAGTTATGGTCAATGGCAACTCCTGCCCTACTAATGAAGAACAAGCTCTACATCTGTGTTTTATGCTGTATATTCTTTTTGGTACCAGGAATCGAACTCATGACCTCATGCCTGCCAGGCAGGCACTGTGCCACTGAACTATATCCCTGGCCCTTATGCTAAATATTTAACACTCAGATTTTCACTCACATACACATACGAGGTGCTCAATAAATATTCAATGAATGAATGAGCAGAGTATACTTAAATACTGCTATACGATGATTTCAGTTTTAAAAATCAATTCAGGAATTAGTTTTTGAAAAATATTTGGAATTTTTTTTTTAAAGTGAGAAAATTCAGACCATCCTGAAATATTCAGATTATAGGTATGGTTATAATGAAAAATCTGTTATTTTCTTAAGGAGTTATATTTCTTTTGATAATTATTCTTAAAGTCTAGTGTTGTTACTGATGACATACCTGCGGATTCCTTTTGGTGTTTCTCCAATTATGAATGTAGTCTGGTCTGTACGGTAGACTTTTTTTGTCTTTTGGCTTACAGGGTGTGAAATGTAAAGGGGAAATGAGATGCCTTCTTCATTTGGTGGCTGGTTTGTCTTTTTGTGTGTCACTGTATCTGCATGCACGTTTTCTTCAGACGGCTGAAAAGGGAAGAAGAAGCAAAAACTAAGTCTGAAAGGAAGAGTCAGTTTTGTTTAAGCATAAAGAATGTCTTGTTTTTTCTCAATACACTCTAAATGAGGTGGATCACATTCTCCAATTGAAATAATTGTTAGAAGATGTCTGTCTAGACCTTTAAAAAGATAAAATAGGGAAAATATATTGCTATTGTCAAGATACACATGCCAACACCTACTATCCCAAGTAAGAAAAACATTAATGGTTCTGTACATGATGGCATAAAATGCCACGGTTCTCTAAAATTTTAAAATTCAGTAACTGCAAATTTATTAGGCAGTCTTTCAGTTATTTAATTTTATGTAAGTAGATAAAAAAGGAAAATCTTTATGTGAGAAACTTCGTAAGTTGTACTGTTCAATATTTTCTGGATTATAGGAATATTTAGTGATTTTTAAGATGTTAATTATGGTTGGTAAATTATAGTTAGAATTAAACTGATTTTATAGTTTATTTAATATAAATTGCTACTAATAGTGGGTCAAGAAAAAAATAATTTTTAACTACATGGTTCCAATTTCCTTGACAAACATGAATAGGTACAAAGCCACTGTTCCATTCTAAAAAGAAAACTACTACATGTATTTTTTCCTTTATACAAATTAACAACAACAAACAATATTTTAAACTATATTTAAAATAAAAAAAGAAGAAAGTCATAGATCTCAATGAGGGGTGAATACAAAAACATACTATAGGTAGACCTTCATAACCCAGGGAATGCTTGTGATTGCAATGAAGGAAAAAGAGTTCAGATGAAATTATAAAGAATATGAAAAACCCACCACCATGAAAGTAAGCAGATGTAATAAATACAAGAATTCATATATGAGGAATTATAGATAATAAAGCAATCTGAAAAGATTTTAAAATCTTAACCAGGTCTGGAAAGATAAAAAAGAAATAGAATCCACTAGCAAGAACTAGACATTGTATAGGTAAGATTTGAGAAAGAACAAAATATAAATTTTAAAAAAGAAATGTACTTCTGAAATTTTAAAAAGAAGCAGAAAATATGAGTTAAGAAGTAAACTAAACAGCCCTAAATGATAGCTGATAAATCAGAACAATTATTCAGAAGGTACTGTAGGTATTTAAAAATAGAGAAATTAAGAAAAGACATCCAAAAATTTCTAAAGGAAAGAACAGAGAAAATGGAAGAGATGATGCTAATAAGATAAGAGAAATTAAAGAAGGCATGGGTATTCAAACTGAAAATAGAGAATCCTTATTGGTAAAAATGACAAATCTTTTTTGTTATATTATGAAAAAGGGAGTATATTAAAAATTATTAGAGAGAAAAGACAAGAAGATATCTACAAGAAAATGGCAAACTAACACCAGACCTCTCATTAATATCACCCCTACAAGAAGTTAATGGTATAATATCTCCAACACACAGAAGCAGTTTGTTCAGGTTCACTTTACTGAGAAAGACTTAAACAATACATTCTTAAGCAGTACATTCTTTAGTAGAAAAACCATTTCTAGTGAAAATAAATTGACATCTTTGAAGGCCACTGTGGCTCCTATGGACAATCACAGAATGCCAAGTGGCCAAGTTGAAGCAGGAGCTTTGCTTCCACCAGTAATACTGGAAATACTTTCTTTTATTAAAGACACTTTTTAAAAAATTATATCCTAACACATTATTAATAAAGAGAGGAAAATGTTGACTTCTAAAGGTAAGTCTAAAGATTTGATGTATTTTTTATATCACAAAATAAGATGAATGCTAAAAGTTCCTAAAGGCTTATCATTTGGGATGATCCCCTAGAAATACTTATTCAGTATTATAAGGAGAGATGAGATGCTTATAGAGGCAAAGGGAATAAACCCAAAGAGAAGGAGCTGGGCTAACGAAGAGCCCTCCCTCCTTATACACTGCAACTTCTGTAGCCATGGAGAGATCATGTCAGGCAATAGTAATTTTCAATTATCCATATGATTATGCTAGGTCTTTCTGATTCTGGCAGCATTACAAAGTTCATGTTTTGTACAAATGAACTTTCTTAAGTCATTTCTATAAATTCTTCAGAAAAATTCAGTCTTTGCAACCATAGCTATCAGATACATGGATCTTTTAACACTTGCTGAATACTCATTTTAAAAACTTGATGCTTTTAGATAATAATAAAAGAAGAAAATCATTTTTCTCTCAGAAGGGCACAGCTTTCTCCACATGTTAACATAAATTTCTTTGGTACTTGGAACTGAATCCAGGGCCTCATGTATCTAGGGAAGCACTCTACCACTGAGCTACACCTTAGCCCATAAATGACTTTCTTAAAACAAAAACTAAGTACATTTTTCCACAGCAAATAACTAAAAAATTACTGCAAGCATGGCTGTTTTACATCTTTGCAAGTGCCTTAAATATCTGGCTTAATAAAAGATAGCTAGATTCTCATACCTGTTTCAGCATTAACCTGCGATGACATGTTGTTCTGGTTGAAGTATATGAGGAAAACTGGCTTCAGAGAAATATGGAGTCAGAAAAGGAAATAATTTTTAATAGCTTTTTCAGATAATTATGGATATTTCTTTTTCATACTATACAAAAACTCCATTAAGGCTAATTTCATGAAAAATATAAAACCTATCAGTAAAATTTTATATTGTTAAAATTCAATTGCCTTGATGCATATTTTACTTTAAGTGACTCTTTTCTTTGCCACGCATGGCTTTTATTTGTTTACTTTTTGTGTGTGTGCACTGGGAATCGAACTCAGGACCTCATGGTTGCCAGCAGGCACTGTGCCACTGAGTGAAATCCCCAGCCCCCACCATGCATGGCTTTTAACATCCACTGGTTATCCAGAAAATATGGATTAACAGAGCTATGTAGATCTTCAAAATATTGATGCAATTATATAATGCTGAAGAATCATTTTGGTTATTATCAGAAAAATCTTGAAGTAATGTGAAATCATGGCGACAGGCATGAGCTTTTTAGTATTTTAATTTTTATCTGAAAGCTTGAATTTTATCCCTGGTAACAAAGCACTGTTTATTGTTTTCTTTGAAGCAAGATGCTCACTTAGGTTCATTTCTGAGAAAGTGCGTGTGAAGTACCCAACTCTGAATAACAATCAGTTTTGTCAGTTATTTTTTCATGCACAGATGTTCCATAAATAAGTGGTTATTTCAGTTTGTAGTTAAACAACTGCCTAACTGCTTTATGCATTCTTTTCAATTCATCATACATAATATAAAAAAGACACTAAATGGTTATTTGATAAAATTAATAATATTATTTATTTTCACCAAGAATGTCTGTAAGAGAAACTAGTTTTTCCCCCTACAACTACGGTGATTAAGAATCCAATAGTAGCAGTATAATTGGGGTCACTGCTTGATTCATGCTAAGCCACCAGCAGTTCTCCCCCTTGCTCTTATACTCTCAGTATAAATGTGAGCAAGTGAACATTTAGCATTGTTTTGAAAATAGTTATAGCTGTGCAGACCTCCTGAAAGAGCCTTGGCCATCCTGTGGGAGCCACTAGCAGACAGTAAACTGGCATGCTTTCATTTAGCAGACACTGGATACCTCTACATGAGGAAATCTCACCAAGATGACCCATGTAAACCGGTCTGAGCTTCCCCTGGGTTTATGCCCAGGCACTCGCAAAGGCTCTCTCCTAATGTGAAAACAGCAGTCTTCCTGTCTAAAATAATGATAGCATTTGCCTGCTCTAGCCCTGGCCCTTGGCTTTCTTCACCATGGAGTGGCTGGGCATTTGACACATCTTGGGAGTTACCTGTTAGAGTATAAACTCTAACATCTCAGTCTCGTCAGGGCAGTTAAACAGTACTGATCAGTTCTCCATATGCAAGACCCTTCAGGATCTGTTCCCAATGTAAGTGCCTAGTCAGGCCAATCTTCTCAGTAGCTGCCAAACACATCATCACATTCATTCCAGGCTCCAAATGTCCTCAGTCTTGTCTTCTGCTAACATCATTTGCCACACCCATGCTTGAAGGGTGAGCTTCATGGGAGTTTTCCTATATATTTTTTCTTGCATTATTTCAATTTTTCATATGATAACTTTATTATATAAATGGAATATGCTTCCAGATTTTGTGTAGTCACATATATCATATTAAACCAAGCAGCCAATAATGCTGTAGATAGGCCAAAGTTTCTGACTTTACCCACCAAGGGAATACAACAAAATCAAGGGGATCTCTTTGAATTGGTAGGACTTCCTGTATTGCATGAAACTATTTTGATGGTGCAGGTATTACCTCTTTAATTGGATCATATGCTACTTTAATCCAAAGAGCAATCACACACACACATGCTTTTAACCCTTAGTCCTGACTCATACAGGCTCTCAATAAATGTTTGTTGTATGAATACAAACTTACACAATTATAACACAACTAAGAAAAATTAATTTTTAGAAGATATTTACCCAAAATTTTTAATGACCAAGGTAAAAATTTCTTTCTGTAAAGCATTCAGTATTTCAACTGCAACAGAACAGCCTTCCATATTAAACAAAGCAGTAGGATAAGCCTCTCCAATCTATTTTGAAGGATTTAATGCTAAATACTCATGTTTATAGATTAACTGAAATTTGATTTTTATAATAACTTAGGAAAAGATTACTGACACTTCTAAAATAAAGCATCAAAGCCAGGCATGGTGGCACACACCCGTAATCCCAACACTCGGGAGGCTGAGGCAGGAGGAGTGCTAAGAGTTCGAGACCAGCCTAGGCTACAAAGTGAGTTTAAGACCAGCCTGAAATGCACAGTGAGACCCTGTCTCAAAAAACAAAACAAAACAAAACAAAACAAAAACAACCCCCCCAAACAAAAAACACCAATTTACCAACAAGCTTGCTGTAGAAGCTATAAAAGCTGATTCTAGTTTTGTTAAAGGGGTTATTATCTTCATCAGAAAACTTGCAACAGTGGCACATATTTCAGTTAGACATTTATCCTGTCCAATACCAACCTTCCACAAAAAATTTATGCATATACTAGTAAATCAGTGTAATTCTCTATATCTTTACTTAGAGAGTCTCTTCGAGAAGGCTTTACTCAGTAGCCATTGGAAATTTAATTAAAATCAGTAAGCTCTAATTGAATATCTAGCTACTATTTTATAGGATAAAAAGACTAAGGCTCATGGTCTAATACAAAAGACATTCACAGTCTAGCCAAAAAATGATGGCAGCCACTGTTAGTGGCCTCCCTAATAGGCACTGCCTCCCTCTTTGTTGTCTGGCTAAAGTTAGAATTCTCTTAGAAATGTGATCCGGAAAGGTGGACTGCTCTCTCAGTTCTAGGGATATAGTCAAGCTAATTATGTTTCTCCAGAAAGTTTCCTCCTTGATAAAAGGAGAGATATGAGGCAAATCATACCCTTCTGTCTTTGAATATGTTTGTGTGAGGAGAGTTCTTGAGGTGCAGTAATTATTTGGCAATAAGAAGCAAAAAGCCTAAGGATTGAAACTTAAATTGCAAAGGGTAATGGGACAGGAAATGAAAAAAGCCTGAATCTATGATATCACTGGGCTATAGCACTAACCCTGAAAATGCCTCCTAGAAGACTAGCTGTTACATTAATTAGTTCAATGACCTATTACACAACCCACTTTTAGAGATGGCTATTCTGTTTCTTGCAGCTAATTTTTTTTTGGTAGATATACTTACAGTACTGTACTACACAATACTGTAAATGTTATAATAGTTATGCATACAGACAAGTAAAAATAAAGATGAGGAAGAAATTGCCACTGCCGCTTGGGAAGAGCTGTTCTAGATGACAAGGGATAGACATTTAATAGGCAGACACAGGTGAAAAGGAATTTTAAGCAAAAGAAACTAAGGAGCAACAGCATGGAGGAATAAGCTAATAAGCTGCCTGGGAATAGTTTGGTCATCTTTGTAACCCTGGTGCCTAGCATAGTGCTGGGCACATAAGTAGTACCAATAACCCCGATGAATGTTTTGGAATGAACCTAGAAAAGCTGGCCAGGGTCAAACTGAGATAGGACTTACGTGCCATAGAAAGGAAACAATGAAACATTTCACAGACTTTTATTTTGTTTTTGCAGCAATGAGGATCAAACTCAGGGCCTTGTCTCTGCCAGGCAAACACTCTACCACTGAGTCACATCCCCAACCCATTTCACAAAAACTCTGGAGACAGGAAATTAAGCCACATAGTAGCTCTTTAGATTTATTCTGCTAGATAACAGTGGCTGGGTAGGGATATTTTTCTGATACCATTCTCCATGCTTCCGTTCTTGAGTGGATGTCCTGTACCAGTACTATGACCAACAGATGACAAATTATGAATGAAGATCAAGAATACCAGCACTTACATTGTCAAACATGACGTTACCTGCCAGTACACATATTTTAAGCTGTGGAGCTAAGAGATGAAAACGAGTTACCTGTGAAAACAGTTTTGGGGTCTGTCTTGTGTAGAATTTTCATGCAAAAATTAGAAAAACTCTTTATGAACTTCCACTTTGTGTTGCCGCTGTTAAGGAGAGTGCTTACAGAAATGTACACTAGGGTCCTGATCCTTAAGGAGCTTGTAACATACATGAGGGAAGAACAAATTCAGTGAGGTAAGCAGTAATGAGACACGTGCCACACTCACAATGGTGCCTGGCATACAGAATGGGTACCAAGGAGGCTGGAATAGAGTGATCCCTGAAGACTGAGAGAGAACTTTGATTGGGTCCACTGATGGTGGATAATCAGCCAGTAGGTGACATGCTTAGAGGTGCAGCCTCAGTGAATCTGCTGAAGACCAATAAAGCCACACAAAACCAAGGACATGGCTTCATTTAGGAAAACATAAAGCATCTGTTTTCTCTCTGCTCTCACACCATCAACACAGAAGACTTCTGACACCAGATGTGTGGGGGATTTCTCCCCGCAACATGCAAGCAACCAATTTTGCTGAGTGTCTTCTAATTTAATTTTGGTACTGTCTACCAAGAGTGTCATCTTTCACAGCTTAAGGGCTCAAGTCCCAAGACTGATACTCCTCCTGCTGAAGATGTCAACTGCAAGCCCTGTTTGTTTTACCCATAGCCACCCAGCTGGCTATAATTAGGGTTACCTTGACCCATTTTGTAGGTCCAGTTAATTGTTGGAGTGGCTCACAAAACTTATGCTTACTAGATTATTACACAGGCTATTACATAGGATGCAGATGAAGAGATGCACAGGGCAGTGCCCCCACTCAGTATGCCACTGCTGTGGTTTGGATCTGGAATGTCCCACTAAAGCCTCATAGGCTCCGAACGGGAGCTTTTGGAAGGTGATTGATTATGGGGTGCTGTACTCATCTATGAGTCCAACCACAGATGAGATCAGAACTAAACATGCTGTTAGGAGGTAGGGTCTGATGGGAAGAGGCGGATCACTCGTGGCATGGCCTGGGAGGGTCTATGTCCCTCCCCAGTTCCTCCTTTGTCTTTCTGCTTCCTGGTAGACATGACGTGAGCAGCTTTCTTCAGCCAGACCCCTCCACCACGCCATTTCTGCCTTGGAGCCCCCTAACAGCCTCACGCCTTGGACTGAAAACATGAGCCAAAATAAATCTTTCCTCCTTTAAGTTATGGATATTAGTATTGTGTCTCAGTGTGGAAGAAAGTGACAAAGACACCCACTCTCTAGGAACTTCTCCATGTTCACCTATTGACAGGATCTCTGAGCACTGTCCCTATGGGCTTTTATGGAGACTTCACTGCATAGGGATAATTGTGGGGACAGCAAGCCCTGTCTGTGCAGCAATTCCCCCAGCCCAGGGTGGGGGATAGGACCTCTCCGGAGTTAGGAGGGTCTTATGGCCAACACTGGATAAAACAGATCATAGAATTTCTTTATAGTGAGCTCTAAGACAAAAGGCATGGGGGGTTGGGTAGGGAAGAGATGATTAGGGTCTTATGACCCACCCTGGGGAAAAGAAACCCTAGTTTTATTGCCTGCCTTGGAGAGGGAGTTATAAGCCAGGTAATGCGGCTGAAAACCAAAAATATACATATCATATCACAATTTCTTTCTTTCTTTTTTTTTTTTTTTTTTTTTGTCTTTTGAGACAAGGTCTTGCTATGCAGCTCAGGCTGGCCTTGAACTCACTTTGTAGCCCACACTGGTCTTGAACTCGCAACAATCTGCCTGCCTCAGCCTCCTGAGTGCTGGGATTACAGGCATGCACCACCATGCCTGGCTCACAATTTCTTACCCTGGTTAAATAAATCAATTAAGCTCTATCCATCATTTCCAGGGCAACTATGCATGCTGTTCATAGAAAAGATAATTTAAACCACTTAAAAATTCTTAGAACATGATGGTTAGATACCCTGTACCCTGGAAAACACTGAATACCTAAATTTGTTTTTAAAGTACTAACTACAGTTACACATAAGATGTTATTTTGAGTTATCAAAGGAGAATCAGAGACATAGCGTACTACTTCAAAACTTAGGGTTTATTAGAAGAGAAATTTATACAACTATCACAATAAGTCAAAAGCCATACTTAGAACAAGAAGGAAACATGTAAAGTACTAGTGTATGAAGGAGGAAAAATATGAGGAAAGGTAGCATACTTCCAGTCAAGGGAGGATTCAAGGCAATCTTTGTAGAAGAGATGACATGTTTGAGGTAGATCTTGAAAGGCAGAGAGGTTTGGAGGTTTGGGGGATTATTAATGTAAAGCTGAAGGTTATTTTAAGTAGAGACAAAGCGTAAGTATACTAGTCAGGATCCTCCAGAGGAACAGAATGAACATAATTACAAGAGGATTTATTAGACTGTGTTATACAATCAGAGACTTAATAGTCCCCATGGCTGTCTGTGTGCTAGAGAGCTAGAGAAACCAGTGGCTGCTCAGTCCAAGAAGCTGGAAGCCCCAGAACAAGACGGACCAATGACTGCAGCCCCAGGGCTGACTGAGGCTGAAGACTGGGAAGGCCCTTGGAGAGTTACTGGTTCAAGTCTGTATTCAAAGTCTGAAGAATCTAGAATCTGCAATAATAGTAGCAAAAAACCTTACTTGCTCAAAATGGGTGGAACATGTAAAAGTTGAGTTTCCTATTTTTTCTCTTTCTGCTCCATTTGAGCCCCAACCAACCAGAAGGTACCATTCAGTTCCTCATGGGTCTTCCTCACTCAGCTGAGTGACCCACATGTCGGTCATCTCTGAAGGCCACCTCACAGACACAACAGCAAGTGTGCTTTACCAACTTTTCAGACATCTCCCAATCCAATCCACACTGACACCCAAGATTCAACACCAAAATAAGTTTTAAAAAAATGAAGAATTACGCCTATGCCAAAACCAGAGAGTAGATACTGCCAAGAGTTTCACTCTATTTCTTTCTTTTCTTTGCTTCTTTTTTCTTTCTTTTCTTTCTTTTCTTTCTTTCTTTCTTTCTTTCTTTCTTTCTTCCTTTCTTTTTCTTTCTTTCTTCTTTCCTTCCTTCCTTCTTTCCATCCTTCCTTCCTTTTCTTCCTTCCTTTTTCTTTTTCTCTCTGTGTCTGTCTGTCTGTCTCTCTCTTTCTTTGTTTTGGTGTTTTTGAGACAGGGCCTCACTATGTAGTGGAGGCTGGCCTTGAACTCACTATGTAGCCTAGGCTGGCCTTGAACTTGTGATGATCCTCATGACTCAGCCTCCGGAGTTCTGGGATATGTGTCACAATGCTCAGTTTACTGTATTTCTTAAATCCAGATAGATAGATCTTAACTGTCTGAAAAATATATTCTCTAAAACGAAGGATGCATGCAACCCATCTGATTCTATTTATTTATTTATTTATTTAATCTAACTGCTAAGGTAAAGGAAATTCCTTATAGACTAGTTATTTTTGAAAAGTAAAAGACTGATTTGTCATACTTGGAAAGTAAGTTTGAAATCTTCAAACACAGACCAAAGGAGCCAAGGGAAAAAGTGACAGAGGACGTAAGACTAGGAAGACAGCAAAGACAGACGCTGACTGCCACTGCTGGGGCCTAAGGTAATCACTTCACCTCTCATTCTAAAAATTGAGTAAAATGGGATGTTTGGGGTAAATAGTCTCAAAAAACCTTCAGTTCTACAATAAGATGATTCCTATCTCATAACTTTGCTTTATTCATCCTACAGAAACCCAGGATTCACATGTGTAGAGGCTGCCTCTCAGCAGCAAGGCAACAGATACTTCCATCAAGTAGCCATACCTAATTAGTAGTACCATGGCTTTGAGAGGGGTATAATATAATCTGAAAAGGGCTGTTAGTGCTTAACACTCTTTAAGTCACTCAGAATTTCATAAGGGCTCCTACCTCTCAGTTTATAAAGTAGTACCTAAAAAGCATTCTTTGAAGGAATAGCATTTTAAAGGTATCTAGAATCTTTGAACTACTCTAAACAGAGAAATTATTCAAAGAAGCCATATCTATCTTTTATGCATTTGGAACAATAATGAGCTAGGAGGAGAGTTAAGAATCATATCACTTCCTAAAAAGTAAAGATTACTTTAGTCAATCTAGTCTGTTGTTAGATTAGATAATAATTTCTTTCAAATACATTTTTAATAATATTCTCCATGGGAAACTAGCTACAGATTAAGGCAGATCCTATAATAAAATTAGAGGACTGGACTTGACACATTTTAACTGAAGTAGTCTATTACTTCTACTATTAGCAGTAAAAATAATAATGGTACGGTACAGACTTACAGAATTTTGCTCACTACTGCTGTTGATAAGCAATAATTATGACTGTGACAATAAAAATTCATATTACCTACTTAGTAATTTCAACTTTTTTTTTGCAAAGACTTGAATGTGTTTTCTATACATCAGGTTATCAGTTACTTCTCTGGTCTCTGAATCCTGCTAACATCACTGTAAGGAAGGGCACCATGGCTTCTTGCGGCCTTTAGCTTGGAGAGGGACAGGTATACATGTTTACAGGGTGATGCTAGCTTTTTCTACCTCTTGTTAGTAACAGGTATTTTTCACTCAAATTGTATACTCTTTCTGAAACAAACACCAAGCATAATCAATCATAGTTCTAGAAACAGAAACAAAAGCATTTTTCATGAGAATTCTAGTCACATAATTTCATGCATACACATACAACAATCTTACAAATCTTAATCTCTATTAAAATTACTTGAAATAATAACTTTATGATATAAATACCATAAAATTAACATCTAGCTGAAGAAGGACAAATGATAAGATTGAGAAAAATACCACCCAGTAAGAGTTACTTCTGCTGCATGCTGAAACCCATAAACCTCACTTATACTACTTCATAAACCAGTCATTTGTGAACAATTACTTTAAACACTCATGCCATTCATTATCCTGAAAAACAGGATAATGGAATGCTCTATCTCCCCAAAGTCTGCTCATCATAAACAGTCCATCCCTCCTTGCTGACTCCAAGAGCTGTATAAACATACTGCAATCCAATCCACTACAGCTCATAGAAATCCTTGCTGTAAGTAATCTATAAAATGCCAATCTAATACAAATACAAGAAAGAAAAGTTCTTGCTAACACAACATTTTGCATTTACAGTATTCTGAATAGTGCTTAAACCTGCACTGATTATAAAAAAGTCACTCCCCCAACACTGTCTCCCAGCCCAGGCTGACAGCTCGCTTAGTTCTCTCATTTACACCACATTGCAGTAACATAAAGAAGGGTTTACTATTAATCCAGGTTTTACTACAAAGCGGCCCGTTATTTCTCTGTCAAACACTGGCAAGAGTGCCAAGTGTCTGTCATCCAATTCAGAGGATTAAGTCTTCTTTTATAGTCTGATACTTGTACCAATTTATAAAAATACAGATATAGTTTCTTAGGGTTGGTCACAGTCTATATTTTGGCTTGGATTCAGGCAGCAGAGGTTGACTATGACAGCTGGCAGGAAACTGAGGGGAGAATACATCCTCCCCCTCAGTCAGCACATCGCAGTTGCCATAGTGATTAATCCGTAATTGAATACTGTCTTTGTACATTTCTTTTGGAAAAACTTTAAGCAAACTTAAGTTGAATACATGCAGTTGATTGAAAAAAATGAGGCATCACATCACAAACAGGTATAGTTAAGTTTTGTGACATATTTCCACACATTAAAAGAACAAATTAACCCCAATAAAGGTATTATCAGTCCCTTTAAATGCTTAAAGCACTTTTTTGTGGCCTGAGTGTAAACCTAAGGCACATAGGTTTTCTCTCCAGACATCACATCTTTTAAAACAAGCTATTTTCAAAAATGGTTGTACAATATACAAGTATAATCGAAGGCAAAGCATGTTTTTATTGTGCACATTACATACATAGTTTGTGCTATAAAATAACAAAAATGTAAGTAGTAATTAACTTTAGGAGAGATGAGTTTTAGTTTAGGACATCTATAAAATACTCTAGAAATAGGAATTAACTCATAAAAATATATCTATAAGAAATAAAATAAAACAGGAAAAAGATCCTCTATATTAGCCTTTTAAAAATATATGGATGAATATGAAAAGCAGGTTCCTAGTTTTTGCCATCCTGCTTATCAAAAATTTTATCAAAAAGATTGAAAAATTCTAAAAGATTGTAAGATTTTATCTAGTACTATGGTGCCCATTACTTCTCTTCTGCAAGTTTCCAGTTAGTATGCGTATCACTTTGCAAGCTCATTAAAGGCTCTAACTCAGACTCACCTATACAGTATACCTCAGAAGGTGAATTACTGGCAAGCAGTGTTCACCGTTACTCATATGTTGGCTTCACATACATATACCTGTACAGTATTCATCTGTTGCTCCTGGAAAGTGAGGAAGCACATGTGCATCTCGCTGTTGACACAAATATGTCCACATATTCATATCACATGCACTCTTTTCAAAAGCAGGTAAAGTTCTTTAATGAAACATGGGTGACATATATGAAGTGCCTAGAAGAATTCTCAATAATGAAAGATTCTGGATTTCACCTCCAGATGAAAGATACTACATTGTAGGTGGATGGTCTGGGGTTTTTTTTTTTGAGACTTTAGGAATAAGAGGTTATCTTCTAACATTATGACTGATCTCTCATGTTCTTCATTCATTTCCTTCTTCCTTTATTTTGTTTTCTTCTCATAACTATTTTAGAAAGTTTTCAAGACCTCAAATTCACTATTGCCACCTACCTTCACATGACAGGCCGCAAAACCTCTCAGTGAGTGACATAAATATCTCTGACCAAAGACGGCAGTGTGGTGAAACCACTGTGGAAATCAGTTTGGAGATTCCTCCGAAAACTAGGTTTAGAGGTCCCATTCAACCCAGCTATCCCCGTGCTGGGCATTTTCCCAGAAGATCTAAAAACATCATATCACAGTGATATATGTGCACCTATGCTCATAGCAGCACAATTTATAACTGCTAAAATGTGGAAGCAACCCAAATGTCCATCCACCGAGGATTGGATAAGAAAATTGTGGTACTTTTATATAATGGAATATTACTCAGCT